AATTTCAGGAAGCGTGCGCGTCATGCACGCGTTCTTAAGCCAATGAAAAGCTATCAAAACTGGAAACAAATGAACGAAGTCGGCTGTTTAATTTAAGAATTGGGGGCCAAGAGCCTTTCAAATTCACCACTGCTTTGAATATGACGTGAGGTATAGCAAGAAATGATCGGTGGATAGGCAAAGCCAGAGATCAACTTCGGGTGTCTAGAAATCAAATCAAATCTCGGAATACTATTATTTTACTTTTTCATTTTTTTTTCTCATTCTTACTATATTTAAATTTCATTTATTCTTGTTTTAGCTGTTTATATATCTATTTATTTTTATCAATCTACCTGTCTATTTGGCTAACTATTGTTCTTTCTATTCAGATATATCTTTCTTTGAAGATTTAGCGCAATACAATAAAAATCTGACTCGTGGAGCTCCACTGTACGTTTCATGACCAACAAAGTTTACACGGTATTGTCGGGTTTCGTTGGTAACCATGTGAGTCCTTTCCGGTTTGAAAAACGATGAAACTGATAACAAATTGATATGATAGTCTCAAAGCGATTTTTCAAAAATATCCTCCTATGAATCAAAATAACTAAGATTCTCGTGCACTCGCCGTTTCGTTATTGAAAATTTCTGCTCAAAATATAGAAGTCTTATTTGTGACGAGTGTCACATTTTTAACTTCATTGTCCTACTCTGGTCGAAGTTTGTCGTTCCAAAACCTGTGTCTACTCAGGGCCAATCTAATTCTCAGGTTGAGACAAAGGAGGTTTACATCAATACAAAAATTATTTTGAAAACCAGCGCAAAATAAATATATAACTACATTTCTCATTCCTCGTTTGTTAATATTCGATGCTTTTCCTTTTCATAGACAGATCTAAGTCGTCTTAGTTACGTTCGCGTGCGTTAGATTATCTACTTCTCACAAACGATGGCGCCTTTTTGATCAGGTATCATTCATTACGGTGCTATGAAAAACAAACTCCTGCGCTTCTTTAATGAAAACACAGAATATTCCTCGTGACGATGTTAGAAATAGAAAACTATGAGGCATTTTCCAAAAAAGAACAACACGAAATAAGGAAAGTAATGATTTAAAAACAAAATGGATTGCCGTTTATCGAGCATTGGTGAGGCTAAGAATGGCTTGACTTAGTGGCAATTATAGAGGGTTCTAGTGGGGGATGGCTTTAACGGCTAACGCTTACTTTCTTTTTGTTACAGTTAACAGAAATTTTAAAAATTTAGTTCAATCGTTTTGAAAAGTTAAAGATTAATTTTCCGTGCTCTAAAAGACAGTCACTCGGTCGCTTTTACCATAAGAGTGAAATATCGAGGGTGACTCCAGACTGAGCTGCTTTTTAGCTGATATGGAGTAATTGTCTGTTTTCCCGCATCAGCCACAATACAAGACATATAACAGTCTAAGATTTTGGCACGTTCAAAATTACAGATCGTAGATAAGAAATTTTTTTTGCGGTTAACAGTTTTTTTTTTCGACTAAAGGTTAATTTTGTCTGCTTTAACGCCTAATCGTTGAGCATTTTTGCCATTTTACAGCTGACGGCAAACCCCATTGAGAACCTCTTTGTACTAGGCCTCCCAACTTATGCATGAAACACACCAAAATCCACCTGTAGATGATAAGGAGAAAATTAAACTTTTCAATGCCAACTGTAATTTAAGAAATTACAGAAATCAAATCTCGAAAAAAAAAACTATGAATTTTTCAAGGCTCAAACTTTTGCCTCTTTGATGTGCAAGAGCGTCACCACTAATACAATGCTACACAATTGCAACACCATGTGCTGCAAGTGGTGATGGGGCAAATATTAGCAAGTTTGCTCTTTGTTCCTCGTATTAAACCTGATCAAACAACTTTTTCCATATGACTTTGAAGGAAGCCGAATGTCAATAAGAGGAACGAAAGCCAACCCGAAATCCATAAATAAAAATTTAAGTACCAAGTGCCTATCTCGAGCGAGGGACAAACAAACTTTGTTGAATATAATTCACATTATGAAAATGAGGTTTTTTTTCGTTGAAATTCTGTAGGGTGGTAAAACTTTGTTGAATATAATTCACATTATGAAAATGAGGTTTTTTTTCGTTGAAATTCTGTGGGGTGGTATCTATTTTAAGTTGAGTTTGTTCATCTGTACAATATGGAAAAGTTCCCTCCTTCGGAATCAAACAATTAAGAGTTCCACATAGCTAAAAGTGTCCCAAAATTTTTTTTAAGCATATCTGTCTTTCTCAGGAAAGAAGGAAAATAATGGATGGATTCTTTAAAACTTGTTTACGAAGGCGTATTTCCTCGTTTATGTGTACCTTATCACGGGTACTTAATTTCCGCAATTTTCATGAGCAAATAGAAACAGGGGCATAAAGTTTCGTGATTCAAGCGTTCCCAACTTCATTTCAGTTTTCAAGAATGAAAGAACTTTTAAAAATTTCTAGATAGAATGGATGTTTGGAAATTAACTTAAAAGTGTATTAATTACAACTTTGAGACGCATCGTCTCAATGCGTACTTCGCGGCTTTGCTTCTAAACATCATCTGACATTACAAATCTTCGGATGGATCTTCAGGTGTCAGTTTTTTTTTTGAGCCATCAATTACTACACTGAGCCCGCCGTCTTCCATCCTTTGGTAATCGATCTCCTGCCTTCAGAGGATGAAATTTTTTAATAGGCTACTGAATTGCGTTTGTTTAAATTTGGCGAGGATTTTCATTCACGTGTCTTCAATTTTGCGACTCTTTCACCCGCGAATTAAGTAGCAATAAGGAAATCGGCTGTCGTTAACAAGTTCGGTGCCCGCCGTAAAGCGTTTAGCTGTGTCTATTCCTTGCATCAGGAGATGAATATATTGCATTTTTTGGTCCTGTATTTTCTTCTTTATGTTTCATGTCTCAGTCGCATAATGTATACAACACCGTACATTTTTCAAAATTATAATAATGCTATCTATGTAATGTCAATAAGAATGACATGCATTAATATCTTTGAAACTTTTAACTTAAACTTACGCTTAACGAGAAAATGAATGATACCTTGACGAAATCGCGAGTCAACGTACTATTTCTTGTAAACCTGCAAATCTCGTGTTAGCAATATTACAAGAAATGCTTCACCCGAACTCTAAATAAGGTCTTAGTGAGAAACTTAACAATGAAATAAAATAATTGTTGACTGTTTAATGAGGGTCCCAATGGGGCGATGGCTTTTACGGCTAAGGCTGAAAATTTTGGTCATTTTATGGCTAACAGTTAGTTTGTTTCCATAACTTTTACAAGTAATTTTTTACGTTTAACTTTTTTTACGACTTAAGTTCAAAATTTATCCATTTTTTACGCCTACCAATTTTTTTGCCATTGTACGGCTGAAGGTTAACCCCGTTGAGGCCATCTTTTATCGCTACAATATTCTAAGGGAATGCGTTTGAAATAATTAATGTTTTTTAAGGAATGTAACATTGTAGAAGTACTGTTGCCAGAAATCATGACAAAATGAAAGATAAAAGCAGGTGAATAAAAATTATTATCACAGGAAGTTACCGAGTAAAGAAAGTTGGGAAAGCTTTAGTTTCAGGTACTTTTTCGTCTAATAAAATGCATTCATCGCAAAAAAAAGAGAAGAAAAGAAAAAGGGTTATGATGGTTCAAATGTATCAGTGTCTTAAGCCTCAAACATCATTTTATAAGCAAATAAATGAAAGACTATTACATACATTTGAATAAAGCTCGCCACGTGCGTTCACATTTGCTTGGAATATTTGCTCCGTAGGCTAACAAATATCGGCATGTCGGTAACAAAGACATTTCAATACACTGCACGAGTGCTGGTTAAATATTTTAAGTTTATATTTAAAAAAAGTGGATAGGCGCGCTTTGATTGGCTACTCAAACTCTGAATATGCTTTGCTGTTCACCCCTGAGCAACTCATTCGGCATTTGCGTCCGATAATATTGAAGTCTTTGCAGTGAGGCGAAGTCAGCTTTTTGTGCTATATTATTTCATTGCTTTAGTTTATACTTAAAAAACCATTCACCAAAGTGTTGGTGGCAAGTGACGGATATTTACCTCACCGCTTCGCAGCTTGGTAAATATCCACCACCAGCCACCTCCACTCTGGTAAATAGTTGTGAAATGATAAATTGTGAAGTGAGTATCATGTATCCTGGATTTTACGTCGCTTCATGAACTCTGTTCCTTCGAGAAAGAGGATATTGTTATTTCAAATAAAGGAAGAATAAAGATCGCATGGACCGCTGTCTGAAAATTGTAACTCGAGTACTTTTTTTTGTTGAACGTCGCCACCGATCGAGGATAAACTAAACTATTTGCCTGCTTGCGGAAATCGCATCTGATCAAAGAACACTCATCCACAAAGTCTCAAGCGCTAAGCAAACAAGTATAGCCAGCAATTTCTACAATTTACACAGATTCCCCAGATGTATACATTCATGCATAGCAGATGAAAGAGTACCGAACTTACAAGTAATAACAGTTTTAGCTTACTTGTTACCGCTCAACTTGATAGTAAATATGGTCTAGTAAACTTTCAATCTTTAGCTTTGATTGCCTTGTTTGTCCAGGAAAACGTTTATTAAACAGTGATTAGTATTTAAGGGCTTAGGGAAATTACACTTGCACTCACAAATTAGAATCTGAATTCCTCTTCTCTCAAGATGAAGTCTTTCGTGGTTCTCTGTGCTTTTGGCGTGGCTGCTTTGGCAAGTTTTGCAACTGGTAATTCTTAGTATTTTAAATTCCTGTGAATAGTAGAATGCAATTCTTTAAGACAGTTCAGCACTTGATTTACTTTCATTCATATGAGCTTTCATCATAACACACGGTTTTTATGTGTATGGTTGGAAAAAAATTGGTATTGTGAGACTCGAGCAAGGCAGTTCGGTTTTCCTGCCCCTAAATGGAGAGAAACTCAATTTTATTTTTTTCCAAACTCATCCTATTTTCGTTTCGACATGTTTCAGGTTGTTCAGACCTTAAGTCAGGTTGTAGTTACTGGGCTGGCAAAGGATACTGCAAAGGGAAATATGCAGGCTATATGTCCAAGAACTGCCAGAAGAGCTGTAATCTGTGCAGCGGATCAGGACCAGGACAGTGCGGATACAAACCCGGTGTACGAATTGTAGGTGGTACCGAGGCTCCTCACGGAGCTTGGTCGTGGCAGGCTCAAATCATGACAACTTATGGCTTCCCATTCTGTGGAGGAACCTTAGTTCATCCACAGTGGGTTGTCACTGCTGCTCACTGTGTTCCGGGAAAATCACCGAGTGACATTCGCGTTAGGTGAGTCAAAGGCTATGGGATTTTATAATACACGCATATCTGAGTTTTCAGTTTTTTTGTTGGGCTAAATATTTGACTTTTGCTGAATCACAGCCGTGGACGACGATCAATTTGCGTGAAGCGACGATTTCAAAGGGTTTATACCCAACTGTCAATCGTGTTCGCGAGAGGGTAACGTAAAAAGACTCCTTTCAGTGACATAACCTGACATTTCGACATCTTTTGAGGAGAAATTAGAATTTTAAAACTTATTAACTACATTATCATCTTCTGCTTATTAGTATCGTATAATAGGCCTTTACGTTGATGTCATTTAAACCACTACGAGTTAAAATTACTTTTCAAGAAGCATTTGTAAAAAGATTCAGATATGAAGTGAATGAAAAGAAAGGTGCAACTATTCCTCGTCAAATAAAGGAAGTTTTTTTTTTCTCTATCTTCAGACTTGGAGCTCATAAGCGCAAGCAAAGCGTAGGAACAGAACAGTTAATGGAGATTGAAAAGATCATCTCACATCAGAGCTATAGAAGACCTTATGGCATGGCTCATGATATCGCCATGATAAAACTGGCCAAACCTGCTCGGATCGGCAAGTATGTCAACTTGGCCTGCATGCCTGGATCAAGTGGAAGTGTTGCAGATGGCAAGGAATGCTGGGTTACAGGTTAGGGCAACCAATGTAATAACTGTTATTTGATTGGAAATTGTAGGAGGGGTAGATTGGGGCCTGATGGAAACAGAAAAACCGGCAAAATTTGAATCGCAGTCGAAATCTAAAGCAAGAAAAGAAACCGTTTGGAGCCAGAAGCGTGTGGAAGAGTGATTTAGACTGAGCTGAAAGGCCTAAAAATAAAGAAGCGGGAAATCTTCCTTCTACAGTTGTGAAATTGGAAGCAAATATAAAAAACCACATCAACGAAAAAAAAACAAAACAACAACAACGAAAAAAACATTAGAAGAAACAGAAAATGAAGAAAACCAAACCCCTTGAGTACCAAACAGCATAAAAGCAGTCTCAAAATAGCCTATATTTGAAAACCTACACTGAGTGGCTTTACAACGAGTCAAAAGAATTTCTTAGCCAGTCTTTTAGGGGTGTTTTGTGATTCCAAGTTGGCAACTATACCCCGTGATAACTGTGTATTGATTTCGTGGCTTCGTGGTAATGTGGCCGTGCATTAAATTTTACAGTCAGTGGATGTTTGAACCTTACAACCTAACATTAGTATGCAAGTGCTCCATACTGTTCTTCATACATCAGTTTCCCATGGTACTGTCAAAAACAATATATCCAACAATCAAGAGATTCTTAAATTGGCGATCATCTCCTTTACTGTCATGACCTTAAATAACGTTTGATTCAGGGGCGATGCTGTAAGAAGAAACTAGATGCTTGACGTCACTCTTAGGGCTTGAAGGGATAACTCTCGTAGATAATTCAGTTGATGCAGATACCTCTATTTGTGCTTTGATAGGATTTGGAAGACTGTCGTCAGGCGGTAGTTCTCCAGACGTCCTCCAACAAGTTAAAGTCCCAATCGTGTCTGACTCTAGATGCAGACGAGCGTACGGCTCATCAATTCACGACTCCATGATCTGTGCTGGACTGGACCAAGGAGGAAAGGACTCTTGCCAGGGAGATTCTGGAGGGCCTATGGTATGTGAAGCTGGCGGAAAGTTCTTCCTAGAGGGTGTCGTGTCGTGGGGTATCGGATGCGCCGCTCCAGGAAAATATGGTGTCTACGCCCGAGTCCGCTACTTGAGGAAATGGATTGATGAAACAATGAATGCATATTAAAAAGGGAAATAAATTAAATGATTATGAATGAAATAACTTGCTTGTGTTCCTTTTTTTAACCAGTGTTGCATCAAGACAGGGCAAACTTTGAAGTATATCTTTCTTGTCTTACTTCCGAACAGTTCAGTCGAGACGTGTTACTTGAAACCAAAAACATGGACAACCCCCAAAATTATTCCAGTAATTTACCTTTATTAAATACGCAAAAAAAAATAATCGTTTCGATAGTCTTTGGGTGCTGTCTTTCGATAGGACTTTAAACAATTTACATGTTTACGTGAGACCTGTCACTATTGCTTGTTCTATTTTGTAATTAAAAATTAAAAGTTGAGACGTGAAAAGATTCACTGAATATCATAAGATTAGACACTTATACTCAAGAATGCGATAACCAATTTTGTTTCTCGGTTTGACCACAGAACATTTTCGGTATCGATCTGTCTACCTCAACGTATTTCAAACGTGCAAAGTGACTCAAGAAAAAATGTTTCAGGCCGAACGTATGGGTGAAGTGAAACAATTTTTCTTGGAATCACAAAAAAAATTAATATGACATCATGACATTTTTAATGAATAACTTTCGATCGGAAGGAAGTTTGATCTTTCGGCAGGGTAATTCTCCCAAGCAGTTTCGAACGTTATTATGCATACTTTTTGCTCATATTTACTGTTCTCTCGCTAAAACTCTCTGCGAGGTTATCAAACACAATTAGTCAAGTTTGATTTGTAAGAGAAATTTTCAAATTCCCTTACTTTACTCCGTATCCTGGCATTGCTGCGTGGTGCGTTGTTGGCATTAATTTCCCTTGTTTTTAAAGAGGAATTCATTATCGATAGTTGAGAAAAGTCGAATTAAGATTTGGTAACCAAGCAGAAATATGTACAGAGCGGAGACCAGAGGCAACGTTTAGATATATGTATATGTGGGATATATGTATCGTAGCCATGAAATACGGACAGTATCTCTTGAAATTCCCCTGTTTGCATGGATTCTGTTCACAATTATGAAGAAAATTTTAAATCCTCGAGAAATATTTGCGCTATCTATATCTTCGGCTTTTTTTCTTTTTCTGTGCCTTTTCCTTGGTTGTCATGAGTGCAAATAAATATTTTGGTGGGTGGCGGGGGTTTTGAACCAGCTTCCCACTTCAATTGTCTCCATGCTTTATCATTACCGCACAGCTTATCACAATATTTTCAGGCCACTCTTGAAAAATGAAAACAGTGTAGCGTTTTTGCCTAGTCATGCGTGTTTTTTGATGGCCTAAAGAGCAACATAAAATCGAGCTATTAACCTGTGTGTGGTGACAAATGAACTGCTTTCTGTAACTCGAACCATTTTTGATAACTCGAATTCTGAAAGAAAACAATTCTGTCTTTGGAAAATGATTTGTTTACTCAGATCGCCTACAAGTTCTTTTACCTTTTCGCCAAAGAACAAAAGAATCAATTGCGTGTCCTCTCGAAATTCATCTTTTAGATGAATTTCAAAGCTACTCAAGTACATTTTTTTCTGATTCTAACCGGTGTGCTTGTTCAGGCCATGTCCTACATAAAATGAAATTAAAAATAAAGAAAACTGATGATGTTCTTAGTCCACAAGCCATTTTTGGATTGTTGTGAAAGCAGTCTATCATGAAAACTTTATTGGTTCTCTGTGTTTTAGGCATCGCAGTCTTGGAAAGTTTCGTACACGGTAAGATATATTTTTGAAAATCTATCATTTTATCAATAATGAACACAATCTCCGTGTCCTGAAAAGATTCTTTAAACTTATTGTGTTTATTATTTCTGAAGATTGCAAACTCGTGTGCAGTATCTATTGTGGTCTTTCCTTTACCCAGTTTATGTACGCCGAATTCCAAGTTATTTATTCTTTTAATTCTATTACTGTTTCTAGGTTGTACCGACAAAAGACGATACTGTACCGTCATGGCAAAAATGGGATACTGCAATAAGAAAAGTGTCTCAAAACATCTGAGAAGGAACTGCAAGAAAAGCTGTAGTTTGTGCGGCGGTGGAAGCGGTGGAGTAGGACAGTGTGGATTCAAGCCCGGTGCGCGAATTGTCGGTGGCACCGAGGCCCCTGAAAGAGCTTGGCCGTGGCAGGCCCAAATCCTATGGTCAACTTCTGGTAATCAATTTTGTGGAGGAACTTTGGTCCATCCCCAGTGGGTTGTTACAGCTGCACACTGCGTTTACAAGGAAATTGCCTCAAATATCCGTGTAAGGTGAGCTGATGAATAGTAACACTCCTCGTCTCCTCGTGGATGGTGACCTGTTGCAAACTGAAGGGAGCAAGAGTCTTGTTTTCATTGCTAGCGTGGAATAATGTAGCCATATACCTCGTCAAGGGAAACATTTTCGTTCTGTAGACGCATTTTTTTAAACTGCTGCTTAAAAGAATAACGGAAGATGCCAAATTCCTTGTAGAGGGAACTAAAACGAGATATACCAAATTTGTTCATGCTAGTTATTTTCATCGATCACGGGCAGACAACGTCCCCGAACAGAATAACGTGTGTGTCTTGAGCAGCCACTTAAGGGATTAGCCTCGATTTGGGTGCTTCTGCAATTCATTGTTTTGCTTTTTTTTTCAGTAAATTTGTTGACATTGATAAATCACCACATAATTCCAGTCAAGGGCTAGAAATTACCAAGAAGTTTTTTAATCAAAACCCTCTCAATTATTGAAATTATATAAGACTATAACCTTTGTAAGAAGGCCACAAATTCATTAAATTATGATCATAAGAAGCCTTTTTTTGACACCATTTTTTCAAGGAAACATAAGTTAGTGTTGTAGAATCGAGTGATTAAAGAATAGGGTATTTGAAATAATGAATCCGTTTTGCACTAATTTAATGATGATCGGGTACAGGGATGTTACCCCATCAGTCTCTGAGAGACCTCATCTCGCAAGTAGAGTGGGTAGCCTAGAACTGAACACATAGCACCTAAGTAAGGGCATGGCTGGAATAAACTCTTTTCATGGTTAACCCTATGCATTGTAAAACAAATAGTCATCATCAAGCTACAATAATCTTGATTCATGATTGTACCTCATTTGGCAGACTTGGAGCCCATTACCGAAATCGCAGATTAAAAACGGAACAGGAGTTCCAGATCAAAAAAGTGATTTATCACAACAGCTACGGGAAACCGAAAGGTTTTGCTCATGATATCGCCTTGTTGAAACTGACCAGGCCCGCTAAAATTAGCCAAGCCGTCAAACTGGCTTGCCTGCCTGGTTCAAAGGGTCGAGTTCGAGATGGGAAGATGTGTTGGGTTACAGGTAATTAAACGTTCGCTTGGAGTTTTATATTTGGACGGAGGTCTATATTAAGCCTGAGCTTCAACCGTAGTGCAGTCGAACCTTTATTAATCAGCACCGCATTAAGTGGTCACCTTGTATTAAGCGGTCAGTTTTCACAGTCCCGAAATTTTTCCCCATAATCACTGTAACTTCCACCTGTATTAAGCGGTCACCTCTATTGAGCGGTCATGGACACCCTTTACTGAGTCCCAACAGCCTTTTTCTATGGTCCTCCACCTGTATTCAAGAATCACCCAAAGAAAAATCTCAGAGCGAGATAACTAAGTGAAGCTTTCAAGAAAAATTGAAGCCGTGTTTATCTTCCCAAATCAATGTTAACGGTATTTTTGAGCGCTCTTTTGTACAATAAGTGGTCAATTATGGCAAAAAATGCCTTTTTATTTTTTTTCTAATAACAATTTTCTGTGAAACCTGTATTAAGCGGTCAATTAGGAGCCGCTAAATACAAGTTTGACTTTATAGAGCTGTATAAGAGTAAAGAGCATTGCGATGTTACGTGAAAAAGTAAACTGTTCAGGTCTCCTTTAGTGCACCCTATAGAAGAGAGAAAAATATTCAAATATTCTTAGTTGAAGGCTACATGAGTTAGCTGGTTTTTTCGTTATCTTTCTAGATTACACTGTCTGAATGGAGAGGGAGACCTACGAGGGGTTACCACAACCACTTTGCTTTACCCAAAGCATATACCATATATTCTCTGTTCTAAACTTATTTTTTTAGAGAACTGGATAGGCCAACCATTCCTTTAACCTCTCAGCCCAAAGCCTTTAGCTGCTGCCAACATTTTTTCAGCATTTATTTCATTGTTTTTTGTCATCTCGCCAATGTTGTAAAATGTTGTAAAACAAAGTAACTTTATTTTCTTTTGCGTTTCACATTTAAGGCTTTGGACATTTGTCGTATGAAGGTTCTCCATCGAGTGTTCTAATGCAGGTCTCAGTTCCAATTGTCAGTGACAGAGAATGCAAAAAGGCTTACGGAGTACGCATCCACAAGTCAATGGTATGTGCTGGACTTCCACAAGGTGGAAAAGACGCGTGTCAGGGAGATTCGGGAGGTCCAATGGTGTGTGAGTACGGTGGAAAGTTCTTCCTCGAGGGTATTACTTCGTGGGGAGTTGAGTGCGCAGCTCCTGGGAAATATGGTGTTTACGCCAAGGTCCGATACCTGAGGCCGTGGATCGATCGTGTTATGCGAAAAAATTAAGACTCAGGTTATTAGTGACACAATGAAAGAAATAAAAGAAAACGAAAAAAAATTTTGCTGTTTGTTGATTAGTAGAATTGCTAAGAAACGAAAAAAGAGTGAAGAATTAGAAAACGAAACGAATATCGAGAATTTTTACGGTGAACGCAAATGCGAATTGATAGACTGACTGACAACAATCATATCGGTGCAACCAGGTTGCTGTCTCATAAAATAGAATGATAAAAAAAAATTATAAAGGAATCAATAGGTTCAAGGTTGCAGTATCAAAAGCTGCCAACATTGCTAGGCACACATCAGTGATACAATGAAAAAATATATTCAAAAGACTGCTGGCTTACCTTTCAATTTTTTTAATTAAAGTTTTATTTCATAAAAGAGCAAATAATTAACTAATACTGGATCTTCTAAAATGATGTCCTTGATTAACTGGAATCAACAAATGTCCCTTCTTTACGACTTTCTATCGTATTGATGAGAAATGCAAATTCCACTGTTACTGATTGGTTTCTTACGCACTGCCATAAAACTAATGAGATTCGTAAATGTTCATTTTACGATTCATTGAGGAAAACCTCAAGACAACAAACGTCTCCTTGTGCAACTGCAAAATTGCAAAAATCAACTCATTATCAAATACAAGATAAATAGAGAATAATACATGGGCGCGCGTAGATAAGGAATTTCTCTTCGAGTGTTTAACTCGATAGCTCACGAGCGAGATGTCGAGATGAACACGAGAAGAGAAATTCCATATCTACAAGCAACCATGTATTATTTTGTTTATCATATAAACACAATAGCACTTTACTGGGAGGAAAAGCCGACTTCATTGATTAATAAAATAAATGAATCGACAATCCTCGAATAACAATCGTAAAGTGCGTTGGCGCTGACTCTTAAGATGGAAAAATGCGTTGAATCATGATTACAAAAACAACAATGGTCATAGTTTCGATTTCTAAAATTCTCATTTATTGGCTTTATCCTTACAGACAGAAGAAGTCTTTCAGGTAAACGGCCAAAATCGGCTAGTGGCAAATCTTCCGGTTGTCGATTTTCATTCTCAGCCGAGAGAAATGCTAACGCCAAAGCCACTGAATACGCAACTTTCGGTTTTTCTTTTAGTATATTAGTTTTCTTCCTCTTCTAGGAAAGTTTGAACCTCACTGTCTGTCAGCGATACGGATATTTTAGTGTTTTAGCCGCCATAATTCGAGAAAGCTCGGACAAACAACTTGTAATGAGAATCGTGAAGGCTTTGCCGTTCATTCATCAACCTGACCGAGTGGTGCCAAAGGCGAGTGACGTGTAAGCAGCTAATTGGGTATATCAACACACGTGAAAAAATACGATATTTTTTCACGTGTGTTGTTACGGCTTTCCTCAGGGCCGGAAATCCTTGTATAACACCGCAGTTTATGTGATAATTTGATTTTATCAACTGAGCTGATAATGTAGATTGGCCACCGTAAACATTTCTTAAGCCGACGTTTCGTGCGTTAGCCTCACGAAGGGCCAGCTCTCGAAACGTCAGCTTTAGAAACTGTTATGGTGGCCAATCAACATTACCAAATCAGTTGATAAAATCTAAGTATCATGTGTACCATGGCAAAAAATAGTCTTAAAGGCATGAGGTGTAATTACGTTGGCATCCGTAAAATGTTATTTAAATATCACAAAAGACAGCTTTTAGAAGCTTTTGGATGGAAAATAATTTCTTCAGAAGACTGGGGTATTCGATGACACAGTCTAATAGAAGCAGGGAACAGAGGGGAAGAGAAAGCGAAAGGAAATTGAAGAGATCTGGAATGGCGGGTGTTGATTCCCTTCCCCGCCCTTTTGTGTACAAGCTTGAATGAATCATGTTGAAAAAATTCGTTAAAACATCCAATATTTGCGTTTCGGCACCCGCAGTCTTCTTATCAGTCTCGAAAATTACGAGAATGCCAAAGCAAAATTTATCCAGCCTTTGCGACCAATGTTGTTGTCCTTCTCAGCAGGCTAGTTCTTTATCGAATATAGTGTGTTTCAATCACTGAAGCAGTTTTGTTCACTTAGAATCGTCATAGGCGGAGTTTCACCTTTATTCCTTTAGGGAAAAATTGATGTGAATGGCCTTAGCTTTGAAATAATTTACCCAGACTGTCCAGATGTCTACATACATGTATTCAAGATACACGAATTCAAGAAGAAACGTCTATCCATTTACCTGAACGTTATATGAAATCTGACTTATCTGTGTTGTTTCAGGCGTGAATGGTTCAAAATTAAAATAAAATAACCCAGAGTCCTTTTTGTTTATCTCAAAACTATTCTTTTTTCTACCTAAGACAAGGAGAAGCTTTTGACCGCACTTCACTCCAGGTAGATTTTAAATGGCGTCTTCTACATGTATGCCAGTGATATAAATTGGTAGCATTTTCGTAAATGCCATTTTTCTTCCTGAGATAAGCCTATTTAACTGTACACCATAAATACCATATATTTACCTTATGAAATCTTCATGAATGCTGCTGTTTACCCAGACCCCAAAAGAAATCTTCCCATGACGCCTTTGACTGACATACCAATGCGCAGACGTTTCCAATTTGTTCAGGCTGTCGTTCAGCTTACGATAATCGAGATAAAAGAAATGGAGCTAAGCATATCTTCACTTGCTATTTTGAAGCGAGTTTGATCTCAATCATGAAGTTCACGATGAAGTTCCATGTCTTGGCCATTGCTGTCTTTGCCATTCCTGCAATATTTGCTGAGGGTAAATGACTTACTATTTGATATTCTTTCCATTCCTTTCATGTAGCGGTAGATAGTATAACTACCTTCCACAGTAGTGGTCGGAGATCGTTTCCCACACCTCTGGTGTCGCACGTGGGTTGAGCTTTTATCAGTTCTCGTCCATGCTCGTCTGGTGGTTTTACTCTTTATACAAAATCACTGAGTTTCTAAAAGCTATTTAGGACGGAAATTATTTACGAAGGAATATACAGAAGTTAGATTATTATTGCAATTTATCTGTTTGTTATCTATGATAATTTAGACATTCTTGCCGAGAAATATTTTGTGTATCGCAATGCTGTTGATTTGAGATCACTTCTGGAGCGATTGTTGCTTATATGTCTTTCAGTTTGTGAGGACAGAACAGTAAACTGTGCTGATTACGAAAGTTATTGCAAAGTAACCAATTGGGTAGATTACATGCAGAGAAACTGCAAGAAAACCTGCGGCTATTGTAACGGCGGAGGAAACGGCGGCGGAGGCGGTGACGGTGGAAATGGTGGTGGCGGAGGAGGAGGCGGTGGTGGTAACGGTGGAAACGGTGAGTGTGGATATAAACCAAGCGCTCGAATTGTTGGTGGTAGTGAAGCACCCAAAGGAGCTTGGCCGTGGCAGGCCCAGGTCAGATCAAGATCCGGTTTTACATTTTGTGGTGGAACTTTGGTTAGCCCTCAATGGGTTGTTACAGCAGCTCATTGCACGTCGGGTAAATCTTCCTCAAGCATTCGTGTAAGGTAAAATCAACATAATTTAAATAAGCTGTGAAAACTTCTTGATAATCTTCTCTTGTTTCAATGGGGCAGCACCGAAATCATTACGCCCTTCAAGAAACTAAAATTAATAGCTATGTAAAGCTGAAAACTTCCGTTAGTTGTTTTTAATGTTATTTCAAAAGAAGGTCCATCTTCTATCTTTTTCTGAAGAAAGGGTTATACCTAAATAACACGGAAAAGATGTTTTCCGATGAAGTCAGCTTTAAACTTTGCTGGAGATGAAACAGTACTGATTTTAAATTGCTGACGGGTTAAGAAATTTGATGAAAGCAATGACATAATCATTGGGAACTTTTCGTTTGGCAGACTTGGGGCACATTACCGCAAAGGTAACGAAGGCTATGAACAGGATTTTGAAGTGGAACGAATCATTAATCACCATAGCTACAAAAGACCTTACGGCATGGCCCACGACATTTCTTTGTTAAAACTGCGCAGGCCTGCTCAGATAAACAGACATGTAAAATTGGCCTGTTTACCAGACTCAAGTGGAGGAGACCTGGATGGGAAGATGTGTTGGGTTACAGGTAATAAATACGAATGACAATGGCAATAAAAAAATCTTCACAGCAAATTCAAACCATCAACCAAGTTTAGTAGCAACGTCGAGGACCTTGTAAAATTCACTTGACCATAGGTTGGGAGCTGTTTTTTAATGGTGGAAAATGTAAGAATGAAGAATGACAATGGCAATAAAAATATCTTCACAGCAAATTCAAACCATCACCCAAGTTTAGTAGCAACGTCGAGGACCTTGTAAAATTCACTTGACCATAGGTTGGGGGCTGTTTTTTAATGGTGGAAAATGTAAGAATGAAAATAGTAATTCAAAGAAAACAGACGTCTTTAAGGTTAGGAGTTTAGCTCTTGCAAGGAATAAGCTTTATTTTTTAATTTTTTTATTCGTTTGCTGTGCGATGTGTTTGTGTTGAAAGAAAGTATTTATGACGGTTGGTCAGTTAATTAGTTTCCCTTTCCGGTGTAAAGTTCTTTTTTGTTTTGTATTTCATCTTCTTTAATAATCACAGGCAACCTTCACTTACATCAATCAAACATAGCCCAACTCAAATATATAATGATAATAGCTGGAAGGTAACGTTTAATAGATTGATGTGTGAAGTCGAATCGAAGCGACACAAGGTAAAATTGACAGCTTTGTGAGGCTAGGCTATAGTTGTTGCTTTTCACTTCATTTAGTGGAGCAACTATGACTGTTGTTTTCGACACCCAAATCTAACGTTATCCTTGATCTTTTTTTCCATCCCATAGGATTCGGTACTCTGTCCTCAGGCGGCTCTTTGGCTCAAATGCTCATGCAAGTTGACGTACCAATTGTCCCGCAGTCCCAGTGCAAGCAGGCATATAGTTCCATTCACGATTCCATGATATGCGCTGGATTGTCCGAAGGAGGTAAAGATTCCTGCCAAGGAGACTCAGGTGGTCCTTTGGTGTGCGAATTTAATGGCAGGTTCTTTCTCGAGGGAGTTGTATCGTGGGGACATGGCTGTGCTGCTCCGGGGAAATATGGCGTTTACGCCAGGGTCCGTTACTTGAGGCAATGGATTGACAGTACAATAAGCAGTTATTAAATAAAAAAGTGGTGACACCGCAAATAAAATACAACAATGTCTCAAAATTTTTTATTACGGCTTTACAAGTAGTTGCCTGGTAAAGAGTTGATCAATTACGCCGATCGTTACTCTTAGCGTGGCCTCATCGATTCCCTCTTCACAGCGTCACATAGGTTACTCCAGCTATTATAAGTGTTGATTCGTTTAATAGAACTCTTTACGAGACCTAGATAACTTGGCTTTAAATGGTTTCGTTCTTTTCGAATGAAGTATAGGATTGCTATAGAACCGACTAACAGTACAGCTTTCAGAAACAGCCTTAATTTCAGCTTCAGAGATATGCATGTCACTTAAAAATGAATTTGGTGAGCTCCCCTTGAATTTCAAGTGCAATTAGCCGATCAAGATCATTTTTTTGTTTTGTTTTTCTTCTACACCGAACTTTTGTTTGGAATCCCTCTTTGAGTCTTCGTCATTCAGATTTCACTATTTTTATCCTCGTTAATATTTGTATCATTGTTTTTATCATTTACATTTTAGATTCAAAACATTAAAACTGCGTGCTATTTCTGCCTTTTATTGGAAGCTTTAGACCATTGGCATTAGGGATAAGAGATATAAGCTATCGGGTTTTCATTTCCGCTCGGGACATCCACGGATAGTTCTGAGTGTCATTGCCCACGGTGCGGCACACCCTAAGAAATACAGTAGGATCCAGGCCAAACCAACCCCTTCAGTCAGATATAGTTGCAGTTATTTTCTTGTAAAAAAAAGTAATATAACGGATACAAAAGAAATGGGCGACCTCGGTGAGGATTCAGCCCAGAGAAAGCTGAATTTATCATATCCTTTTCTTTTAACAAATAAAGTCGAAAAAAGGATAGCCTCATGTTTTCTCAGTTGGTTTACTTTAGGTTATAATCGTAACTGAGCCAACAAATTCTTTCAGTTCTGTAGATCTTGTAATTTAAAGAACGTCAAATGTGAATGGAAAATAACAGATCATAATCTGCCCAGTTTTTTCTCTTATTTTTCATTTTTGAGCTAAAGAAAAAGAGTTCGCTATGCAGCTAAGTGTAAATGGTTTCTTACTTCAAGCTATTCTTATAGATGGCCTAGGTTGAGTAGTTTTAATTGAAATTCGATTGGGTTTCCAATCAAATTTCTTAGAACCATGTTGCTTTACCAGGTTAGCCAGATGTTCTGGGTTCATCAAAATTGCTGTGAAAACGTTTTGAATGTTCATAAAATTTCACTTTCTCTGTGTTTAAACAGCCACCAAACTTTACCCTCTGAGATGTCAAAAGACATTTTCTGAAATCATTTTTAAAGCAAGGTTAGCTTTAGTTATTTGCTGACTCTCCCTGCTTTGGTTGTTCAGTTGATCAATCTTCGTACGAAGCTAATAATATAATGCGGCAAAAGGAGAGTTCTTTCCTTAACAATTCTACGACGACAATCATGAAGATTTGGATTCTCTTAGTCTTCGGCGTCTCTTTTTTGGCAAGTCTTACACATGGTAAGTTAATTATCTTCGTTAAACTCTGTTCTGTCAGTATTTTTAAACAGAACAGCCATGTTGTTTTTCTGATTCGCGAAGTGATCATTATCTTCCTTTGAACACATCATATCAAAGTAAAATTTCTGCCACATGATTATAGTTTGATAACTTTGTAGACTATGTAGACTTTGCAGTTCAGATGCTGAAAACAAAAGATAAAGATAAGCTTGCGCGAACTCCCTCTTAGTTCATACTTAACATTCTAACCAAATAACTAGATCTCCTGGAAGCTTCCTTTCCTTTGTTGTAGGGACTTCCCCAATCTGGTGGAACTGAGATCCTGAGATTTTTCTCCCTGTTTTGATTTTCGTCATTTGGGAATAATTGTATCTACTCTCAAATGTTTCATTCCAAATTGAAAACGTCATCCTTACAGCCAAATTGTGAAAAAAAGGTGGAGATAATAAGAAAAGTTTTTCTTAAATGAATTTAAGGGTGTGAGGATGTGAACGTAGACTGTATGAAGTGGAAGCGTGGAGGATATTGCCCGAAGTGGAAAGATTATATGAAAAAATACTGTAAAAGGACATGTGGATTCTGCGAAGGTGGTGGTGGCAACGGTGGAAATGGTGGCAATGGCGGTAATGGTGGCAACGGAGGTAACGGCGGTGGGCCACCAACTGGTGGCTCAGGAGACTGCGGATACAAGCCTCACACTCGGATTGTCGGTGGTACAGAGGCTCCTCGAGGAGCTTGGCCATGGCAGGCTCAAATCACGCAACCTCACGGCTTCCCATTTTGCGGCGGAACACTGGTGAATCCTCAGTGGGTGGTAACTGCAGCTCATTGTGTCTCGAAAGACACACCATCGGGCATTCGTGTGAGGTATGTGGTTCAGCTTTGGTAAATTACCCCAGTTGGCTAGCAATGATCGAAATATAGAATGCTGCTAACAAGAACATGTTCTGTATGTTACAACGTTTACTAGGGGCGTCAGTAAGAATATCACAAGGTTATAGAGGGGGAAGTAATAGTAATGGTAAGATTTGTTGTTTCTGTTTTTAGTATTTGCAGCACTTTCAATAACCATCTTGTTGCTTCTCTTTGTTTTGTTTTGTTTTTTCATTTCCGTGTTTTAGAATGGGAGGCCACAAGCGTCGAGGTCCCGAGGAGACAGAACAGGTTTTGGAGGTCGAAAGGATTATTAATCATCACAGTTACAAAAGACCGTATGGTATGGCTCACGATATCGCCATGTTGAAACTGCGTCGGCCCGCTCAAATAAACCAACATGTCGGAATGGCTTGCTTGCCTGGGTCAAGTGGAAGGGTTCCAGATGGCAAGAATTGTTGGGTTACAGGTAAATGCATCATGTGGTCTTTACCTACAATGCTCTCAGGAGGAGAGGGAATGGACCCGCCGTGAACAAGAATACCATGATGAAATTGCTTGTAGAATTTATGAGGGATAAAAGTTGTATTTATGAATGCGTAAGATTCTATCATCATTTTGAAGAGTTTGGAATTTATATAGCTCGCGACAAAGGAGGGTCTGAATGGGGTGATGGCTTTTATGGTTAAGGGCTACAATTTAGGCCAATTTACGACTTCCATTAATTCCTTTCCATTGCTGTTAAAAGAAAAATGTTTTGATCAAAACTTTTTTTGCCGTTTAACGGCCAACGGTTACCCCCATTGAGATCCTCGAATTTTATTTAATCGTAAATGTTGCGTTTACATACTGCAGGTTTTGGAAGATTGTCATCCGGTGGTAGCTCTCCTAATAGGCTCATGCAAGTCTCTGTACCAATTGTCAGTGAAAGTAAATGCAAAAGAGCATATGGCTCGTCCATCCACGCCTCCATGGTCTGTGCTGGACTCGATCGCGGAGGCAAAGATTCGTGCCAGGGTGATTCAGGAGGACCAATGGTGTGCGAATACAACGGAAAGTTCTTCCTAGAGGGTGTCGTGTCGTGGGGAAGTGGATGTGCCAAACCAGGGTACTATGGAGTCTACTCTCGAGTCCGTTATTTGAGGCAATGGATTGATAGTACAATGAGCCGATATTAAGGATTAGTATCTGAAAAGTAATAAAAAACATCGACCTACATTTGAATTTGTTTGTATGTTGTTATAGAATAATTTCTTCCTAATAGCCAGAAATAGGATCATACGACCTTTCGGATTTTTCAAACTCCTGAAAATTAGTTATTCCAACCCTAAAAACGAACAAATTACGAAAAATTCAACTCTAAAGAAGGAAGTGAGTAAAGATTAATAACTTATAGCTGCGTTTTATAGTCAAAAGGGCTAACAATGATAATCTTTTTATATTAAAGTGTCTGGATCTATTATGAAAAGTAGGGAGGTTATTACGATCAATTGTGCTGGAGACTTGGAAAGTTTCATTTGTACTTTGCAAACTTCAGGGTGCTTTGTATTATTATTATTATATTTTTTTGAGATGAAATACCTCTTTCATCATTTACCACTTTCCTGATCGGAGATAGACAAATCAGTTGAGAATACTATGGTTTAAAGTTGTGAGTAACCTGCCTAGGAATTCAAAATTATTTCTGCTCTTTCTTATCCCCGTTCAAACTGGTGACATAAATGTGAGAGGGGACTTGGATTTAGAATCTTCGGTTTTCGGTTTTGGTATATGATGTCTGTTTTACTCTTTTGGAATAAGGTTTTTGTTCTTCGCCAGGTTATTTCTCACGCATCAGCATCCTACCTCAGCTTGTCTTGAATCCTTCGCAATACTTTTGGTTAATTTTTGTCTGGTTCCTTGGTTTGGATAGGTTTATTTGTTTCCGGTCTAGCCCAGAAGCCTCACTTAAAATTGCATCAGCTCTCACGGCTAGCTATCTCTATGGACGTCACAGCCTGAGAAATCTATATTTCTCATAATACATTCAACAACCATTATTACATGCGCCTCCTTAGATAGTTGTTTATGAGGTTAGTTTTCTGTAAACGGCTACCCATTCCCTCTTGAGGTAAAAGCCCTCTCCTCAAAAATGAAAACGTAGCCTTTCACAGCTAATCACCCCTCAGCTCGAGCATTTGCCAAAAACTTTGCTTGTTGGAGTGGCAAATAAACGACGTATTCGAGGGCCATTATCAAATTTTTATATGAGTTAAGATATTCTATATTCCACGGATTCAATATAAGAACTTGCTTTGCAATTTTAGAGCGTGGTGTTAATGTATTCCTCGAACCGAAGAAATGATAACTACAAATGAGTAAACGAGTATTATCTTCAGGAAAGGAGGTTGATATAGTGTGGTGTTATTGATAAATTAGAACTTTGCACAGCTCCTATTCACGGTCAGGCAAGCGGCACCGACACTGCTTAAACCTTGAAACTGAAAAATCCGAATCTAACTTTGATCTTTTTATGTCATTTTGCAACAAATGCAATCATGTCACCCAAATGATTTTTGTTTTGTGATCATGAGTATGTAATTGTATATTATCTACAGAATATATTTAAAAAAATGTCACCGATGTGTTAATGAAAAATAAAATTCTATTTGATCAATTTGTTCAATTTGGATAGTGTTCTTGACTCCAGCAGATTGAAATTTCATGTAGTCGGACATCGAATATAGAGCTGTGTCAATGTTATACAACATGTGTATAATGTTATAGATAAATATTATTTGTACTTATCTTAGAACTGTATTAAATTTCTTGGTAGCTTGTTAAACCATTGTCCAATTCCTTAAAAAGAGAACCGATATTTGTTTGTCCATATGTGAAATTTCATCATTGCTGTTTGGCTAAGGACAAAATTTAATTTTGGACATCGCGTTTGAGAATGGCTGTGGTAACTCGTGTTTAGTAATCTTGTCTCTGTGCTTATTCAGGATGTGAATAGAAGTTATGACGTCGCTGATATAAAACGCTACAATAGAAGGTTCCTAGTCAATCAAAGATTGCTTCAGTTCGCAGATATCATGCACTCGAGAGTTTTTCTCTGTGTTTTAAGCGTTGCTTTCCTAGCGAGCTTCGCGCAAGGTAATTGGTATGTTTTTTTTATTATTTACCTCTATACAACTATCAGCGCTATACTTATAGTTATTAGTTAGGGGCAAAATGGCGAGATAGCCCAAGAAATCACGGGGTTTATTAAGCTCGGGCTTCATAAACTATTATCATTTCACCTATAAAAATTGAGCGACAATAGCGAAATAAGTGAATATATTACAATAATTACGAGCCAATAAAAAACAGAACAAAGCAAAAAAGAGAAATCAGAGAAAAGCGGAAACTAAGAAAGAACGTATTTTTTCATCCTGTAAAAAGTTGTCACACTTATTGAATCTTGAAAGTCTGAGTTGAGTTCATTGAAAAAAACATAGTTTTTTAGAGAAGCTTGCAAATATGATGTCTCTGGTTGGTTGATCTTTTAAAGAAACAGCGAATACACAAAAATTTTCCTCCTCAGTGTCATCAAGAACACACCAAAAAAAAATGGAAGGTTCGATTAACCTTTGTTTACAGTCCTCAAAATACCTAGTGCTAAACATATTTGATCCTCAGGCTGTGAAGATAGAAGAAGAGAATGTTCAGGCTGGGCGCGAAGAGGGTTTTGCTCCGGAAAATATGAACAGTATATGAAGCGAAATTGTCAAAAGAGCTGTAAATTTTGTGGAGGCGGTGGCGGAGGAGGCGGAGGAGACGGAGGAGGTGGCGGTGGAAATGGTACGGTAAAAAAGCTGTATTAACATCTTGTAATCTTGAAAAATTTAGTCCTTTTCCACTGTTATAATCCCACCCAGTCTACCTCATCATTCCTTTCTTTCTTTCTGGTTTATAGTTATAGTTATAGTTATAGTTATAGTTATAGTTATAGTTATAGTTATAGTTATAGTTATAGTTATAGTTATAGTTATAGTTATAGTTATAGTTATAGTTATAGTTATAGTTAAAGACGTAATTTCAAAGTTGTAGTTGCAACTGAAAAAGTAATGTGCTCGCTTCTTTGACACAGCTTCGATTGTTTACAGGCGAGTTGGGCGTGACAGTTGTAATTTCTTCTATCATTATATATGATTCAAGTTATTATTTTTAAAATCGAATTGAAGCCTGGAACAAACGAAAGAACTCGACTAATCTGTAAAAAAAAGAAAAAGAACTATGCGAGTTAGTCAGCCCTCAGAGAGAGAGAGGAGAGAGAGAAACAGAGAAAGAGAGAGAGAGAGAGAGAGAGAGAGAGAGAGAGAGAGAGAGAGAGAGAGAGAGAGGAATATCGGCGTATCAAAAGTGTTTTGACTTAACATCTTTACAGGAATCTGGTTTACTCAGCTAAAATTTTCATAAGTGCCTAATTCTCTTCATGGTGATGATTAGCCATCGTTAAGGACGTAAAAGAGGAAAAAAAATCAGGGGCTTAAGTAGCTCAGTGCTGAATCCCTAATTGCTTAGCTTAACAATCTTCTCATGACTACTCATCGTCGTTGGATTTATTCGCAAACAGTTTAATTGGTCTAACGTTGGAGCGGATGGCGTTGATGACTCATTCTCAACCTTCCCAGGCGTTGTATTTTACCTCACCGGTTTTTCACTCTTTATTAATTCAGGTTTTTCATTCTAATATCTGTTTTATCTTTGCGTGATCCTATAAATTGATTTTCGTTTCTATATAAAATGTCAACCACCAAATTTGCTAGCATCATTACTGATTTACAGAATAGAAAAAGAGATATTATATTTTGCATTAAGCCTAAATATTCCTGGTCTTAGAATTAATCAGCTACTTAATGTTTGCCATCTTTATATTCCCTGTCCAGGACAATGCGGATACAAGCCAAGTGTACGAATCGTCGGTGGTAGCGAGGCTCCAAGAGGAGCCTGGCCGTGGCAAGCCCAGGTCAGGTCGAGTAACGGTTTTACATTTTGTGGAGGAACCTTAGTACATCCCCGCTGGATTGTTACTGCTGCTCACTGTGTCCCGAATAAACCTCCTTCGAGCATTCGAGTAAGGTAATATGATTGGAAGACATGTGAGGTCAGAAGTTTGTATTCGTTGAGATTAAAATAAACCAGATTAAGTCTTGATTAAACAGATCTTGACATAAGAAAGGAAGGAGAAATGTAACATGAAAAAATATATTACTAGTTCCATCGTCTTACATTTTTAGGCTTGGTGCTCACTATCGCAGCCGCAAAACAGGGAGCGAACAGGACTTCGAAGTGGAACGAATCATCTCCCATCGTAGCTATAAACGACCTTATGGTATGGCTCACGACATTGCTTTGTTGAAACTGCGCAGGCCAGCTCAGATCAACAGAAATGTGAACCTGGCCTGCTTGCCTGGGTCGAGTGGTGAAGCCCAAGTTGGAAAGACATGCTGGGTAACAGGTAATAAGGCTTAGAGGCCTAGTCTCCCATTTCCTACATAGCTTATACCAGAGTATTTTCATTCCTTCCAGACTGGATATTTTTTCCTTGCAGGAATACACCGCCTTCTCACCCCACCCCTTTTACCCATTCCCGCACCGCTTTTCACCAAAATACTGTCATTTGAGAGGTTTCTCTGCCCGTTTGTTGGTTTTCGAGGGGTAGAGAGCGGCACAGTGAGAAAATACTTTAAAATATTTTATCCCATGGCACAACACAGTGGGACGGACCTTTCTTTTTAAGAGAAGAAGCACTCCTATCAGAGCTCTTTTGTGGTTTGCCTTCCCCACAAACACCTGTTTAAGAGGAATATACATCCCCTTGTTTCCCCGCACCGGCCAGTCATCGATGTCGGTGGTTCCTTTGAAAACCATAACTGATAGAATTAGTATGGTGTTGCGTGCTCACTGGAGGCCGCACGACATTTTAAGTGAATATAACTAAACCAGCAACTGTAAAAGGTGCACATAACAAAAATAGTCTACGAAAAACGGATACTGGGTGAAGACCAACGAACATCCATAAGATCCACCGCGCTCGTTGCGGTAAAATGTGGGGGAGAAAATCCCGGCCCAATGGAAAGAACTCTCCCTACCTGCCGGGCGCTGTTTAAAAAAAAGAAAAAGGTTACCTAAGTTCTTAAAGATTGTGACACTTATAAACGAGATTTTAAATTGTCTTTGACATGGCCATCCTTAGCGTTTTCGCTGGCCCAACGAAGGTTTCGCTTAAAGAGCCGATCAGGAACTCCAGCATTAGCTGCAGTGGTAGCTCCTCAATTTACACAGTTTTTTAATTCCAAGAGATATCTTCATTATTTTGAATCTGATTTTAAACATAATAAAAAGCACCACCAGTTCTATTTGTGCTTAATGAGGATCTCAAAAGATGGAGCCCTTTCTTTCGTTCTGCTTTACGTGTCCTCTCTTTAAAAATATCATTGGATGCGTAAAAAAAACCTTTTTTTATCTTTCACTTTCCAGGATATGGAACACTCTCTTCAGGTGGTTCACTGGCAGACAGGCTAATGCAAGTTGACGTGCCAATTGTCTCACAGTCCCAGTGCAAACAAGGTTACGGCTCATCAATTCACGAATCCATGGTCTGCGCTGGATTCCGGCAGGGAGGCAAAGACTCGTGCCAAGGAGATTCAGGAGGGCCGTTGGTGTGTGAAATGAGTGGAAAGTACTATTTGGAAGGGGTGGTGTCCTGGGGACACGGATGTGCTGCGCGCGGGAAATACGGCGTGTACGCCAGGGTCCGTTACTTGAGGCAATGGATTGATGATACCATGGGTAGATACTGAGAAATGGTGTCATTAAATTATAATCAGTCAAAAAAGTAAAGTAAAAGGATTCTACAATGTTTGTCTATTATTTAGGAACTTTAGAGTTCTGGGTGGTTCATTCATGACAAATGAACGTACAATAGTCAGCCCTTTGAGTCCTGCGATCGACTGCTGATACTAATGAAGAAATTGGGGTATGTCCAAGGAAAACTAAAGGACAGGGTCATTGAAAGAGCATTAGAGAGAATGCTTTTGTTTGGTAACGACGTGAAAAAAAATATATTGCAAAATTTCTGTAAACTCCCTAAATGGCTTCCTCTCTTGTCTTCTCTTGATAACGAGACAGAAATCTTCAAAAAAGTCCAATATAACTCGCAAAACCTTGACGTTTGAACGGGTAAAACCTCCTCGATCTTTCATTCTCTACCTCAACTGTGACGTTTTTTAAAAGAAAGGGTTTTTTTCGGAAGTGAATGTTTACCAGCTGAATAAATTGATAGCCAACTCGTCTCAAAGCATTAGCGTTCAAACTTTAGACCCACCTGATACCTTTTGTCTACGAATTGACACCCTGTTTGAATTCTAAAAAAATGGCTCTTGCAATGAAGCCAAAAAGTGTTGTTACGAGGAATCACTGAGCTTAACGTTTCTTATGAAAAATTTACACACAGTTGTATAACCATGAACTGATAGCAGCTGAATAAGAGGATACGTAAAATACAAATTGTTCGCTCGGAATTAAAAGTTTTCTTAATTCCTTATAAACTTGCCTATTTCCAAACAAAGACTATTGTTTCACCTGATATAACTAATTTTCAAAACATTTCAAAAAACGCGATTTGTGCTGCCCCTTTGATTTCTGAAAGCGTTTCGACAAATTGTTTATTCCCCACTGGCGTCTATTTACTTCTTTTATAAATAAAAAGCCTTGTTGGATACTCAGGTTTGCCATCTGGCTATAGCCAAAAGGCAGGTATAAAATCAAACTATGCTGAAACTATTGAAATCATTTTTTTTAGCTTTGTATCTTTTGTCAAGGATTGGACAGATTCTTTGAATTATGCAAAATATCGTTGAGACGTGAAATCATTGAGTCCGAATTTCCGATGAAATTGCTATGCACAGCTGTATAACTTTTAGTTGAAAGTCATAAAATAAAAGGATATGCACTTGGCTACGTATATTCAGAATATCACCGGCGAGATGTTGTTTTTCGTCAGCTTGGTGGTCTGTCTTTTAACACCATCACTTATAAAAGGTGAGCTTTTCGCTACTTTTGTCTATCTGTAATAATCTTCCAAACCATCGGGCGTCATTTTAAGCTTATTATTTGGAAGGTGAAATATGGAAACGGTCTTGGTTAGTCTTTTTCTTGCGTGACACATAAAAAGTATGACATAATGTGAGACCCATGCGAGTTTTTCGTTAGGTCAATAGGAAAAACAGTACTGACCACTTGAAATTTCTTGAAAAGTAAGAATATTACATTTTGCTCCCCAAAAGCTTATCTCATCAGTCAGAGTCAAAATATTAGCCCGAGTTTGAGATAAGTGAGATAAAGTTGGATTCCTACCAGAAAATCCAAAACAAAATATTTTAAATGCTCTGGACTACTGAAAAAACGCTGCTTCCGATGAAACGGACAAAGGAACTGCAGCACGGTGCATGCACCATATGTTTGCCATCGGCAGTGAGGTTTAGACTGACTTATATCTATAAAAGAGACATACGATTGCCCCTTTTTACTCCGCGCTCTTTTCACTTTGTCTCATGAACTTTCTTGCCTCAGCGAATCAGTGGTTTCCATAAGAACTATGAAGTTCAATCCCAACGCCTCTCAAGCATCGAGGCCACCTTCACTTAATAAGAAAATGAATTGATACATTTTGATTCTTCATTCCCTAGCTTGCGGAAATAAGCCATTTGGGTCCCGTATAGTCGGAGGCGAAGAAGCAAAGCCGAATTCTTGGCCTTGGCAAGCATCACTCCAGTACTATGGGCGCCACATTTGTGGTGCTTCCCTTCTGAACGAGAACTGGGTGCTATCAGCAGCCCATTGCGTTGATCAAAGTAGTGACCCTAATCGTTACTCAGTTGCTTTAGGTAAAGTGAAGTTCTTTTTTAAGTAGTTAATGAAGAACTTCCGTTTTCCTTTTTTTTTTGTTTGTTTTTTTTGTTCGTCTCAGGAAAGTTCTTATCTTTTGAAGCGAAGAGGCAATGGACTATCTTCCTTTGTTTTAATTATAATCCGTTTTTGTTTGTTTTGTTTTTTTCTTGCTAGATTTTCGTACAGAAAAGCCTTAATCATAGATTTTAAACGTAAAGAAGAGTCCCTTAAGGGGTCGAAATGCAAAAGATTAATTGGTTCACCATGATAACGTAGATTTTACCCAAAAAACAGACTGTGAATTTGCTGTTTCAATTTTGAGCTAATGAAACAGACCTACAAATACCAGCGTTAACGCACGATCTCTAACTCATTCCTTACGGCATTTTTTACCTCTATCAGGGGCTCATAGCAGAACTGGAGACGGACAAGTGTTTAAAGTTTCTAGAGTGATCAAACATCCATCTTTTAGCATGCAACATCTACGCCATGATGTAGCAGTGCTGAAACTGGCGACCCGTGTAAGCCTCAATAGCAAAATCCAAACCGTTTGCCTGCCAAAACATGGATCACGAGTCAGTCTAGGAACACAGTGTTACGTAACAGGTAATCTGATGAGAAAACTCAGCTTGTGGTGGGTCATTCAAATTAATAAAGCTTGCTTTCTATCTTGAGTCTGCACAAAACAAAAATTCTGAGGCCACAACCACAATTAACTCTAAAGAAATTAGTATTCTAAAAGCGGTAACAATGAAAAGTGAAAGAAAATTACGCTGCTTTCATCGCTACACACTGACTAAGTGGTTTAATTAGGGTAAATGATTAATCAATCGATTGAATGATTGATTGACTAAATCGGAGAATGATTGAAAAGATGATCATCCGATTAACCGTTTAATAAAAATGGTATTAAATGAAGTTCCATTTCTTGGATGTTCACCGTCTCTATTCAGGTTGGGGTAGGATAAATTCAAACACAAATGCACTTGCTCCTCGTCTTAAACAAGCTAAGGCTCCGGTAGCCAGTCACAATACCTGCCGAAGTAAAAATGGTGGCACAGTGGATGAAAGCTCCATGGTATGCGTTGGAGGACAAGGAAGCAGTGTCTGCAACGGCGATAGTGGCGGCCCCTTGTCATGCTTTGAGGGTGGTCGCTGGTTTGTTCGCGGTGCAGCTTCATGGGTAACGAGCCGTACTTGTCCCGGACACACCTTTTCCGTATATGCTCGTGTTAGCTCGTATGTCAGGTGGATCGAAAGTCACGTGGGTAAGTTGGCAACTACCCTAGCTCCAACGGAAAATTTCCAAAACGTTTGCCCAACCCCGCGATAACGGACATTTCGCATTTTTTTTCCTGTTTTGGGACGAATCGACCACTTAAACCCTAGGATTCACAATTCTTCTCTCATCCTAATCCTTATCATTGTTATCATAATTATTGTGATTATCATGATACATTCTTAATTACTGGCAGAATGGGCCTAGAAGTTGACAATTTACATAATGTAATTAATCAAGCCTAAGGTTTCTGCGACACCGTCTACGAAAAGGATTTATCATGATATAATGAAGGTCGAGAGTGCACTTTGTATAAATCCGTCAAATTTCCCTTCACCACAGGTAGTGGCGGAAGTGGCGGTGGCGGTGGCGGCGACGGCGGAGGAGGAGGAGGAGGAGGAGGAGGAGGAGGAGGAGGAGGAAGCGGTGGAGGTAAGCCTCGAAAGCTTTGCTAAGCAAAGAGCAGTGCAGTAGTTTTACTTTTTCACGTTCAGTTCTAGAATGGTCAAACCATCCTGTCTGCTAGGAAGCTAGACAGATCGCGACTTAAACACCTTCGTTTTCCCGCGCTCTAAGCAATCTGCTTAGTTTACCTCGGCTACCTATTGTTCCGTTTTAGTTAAGTCATCTAGGAGCTGAGTAGCTTTCAAACGAAACGCGATCTTTTCAGTTATGGAAATGCGTTGAGTGCGTCGAGGGATAGTTTTGCCGAGACCAAGGCTGCATTCTTGTCCTTCTATCTTCTTCACGCGTCTTTTCAGTCTTTTAGACGCAGTAAATTCTTTTATTTAAAACATATTCATTTAATCAGGGATAAGCTATTTTTTTGTGTTACCATTCCAGGATCTCGTCACACAGAGAAACTGTCCCAATTACAAAAGCCAACTCGACAAAATATTGAGTCAGTAGTATCGTAGGTAATGCTTACTTTCAAAGCCAAGGCACAATACATTTTTCACTTGAGTTCATCGCACAAACTTTCTGCAAAGGCTTTTGCTAGGATTTCAATTATCCGTTTAATCTCACTTCAGGTTTTTAGCTACAGTTTTGCAGTGAAAGGCGTTTTGCATTACCCTGCCTGAAAAAAGCCGATAAAGCTAACAATCTCCTTCACAGACGTTTAGAAACCTCACCTTTTCTTAAAACAAGCTGTCATTTTGCCCTCCATGAGAATCTGCTTACAATTGTTCTTTAAATTCAGCAATAATTTAAATCATACATTTCGAAACTGATTAAAGGTAAATGGCGATGTTTTGATTTCAACAAAAAACTCACCCCAACTGGAAAGCAAATTCCGTTTTCACATGTTATCAGCAGAATTGGCCGACCCCAATTTTTTTTTCTTGTAATGTCTTTTCTTTGCGAGTGATCAGTGGCAAGTTCATTGCCTGATTATTGATCAGTAGTTTGAAACACTTTTTATATTTCGTGAAGCTCGCTAATTTAACAGGATACGCGTATGCACAAATATAATTCAGAGTAACAAGATTGCTATAAGACAAGGGACATGATTGGTTAATTGGGAGGTCGAGAAAACCGTTTAAGAATTCTGAAAAGAAAGATGAAGACGATTGATGAAAAACGCACATCATCAGTTTAAGAGATTACTCATTCTTTGCCCAACAACGATCTTTTATTTGTAAACTCGGCTGATGAACAAGCAACGCTATGAATGGTTTTGACCCAGCATAGCTTTTATTTTATATATTGACAAAAAAATCGGAGTCTTAATTATCCAGGAGACAAACGCAAGAAGCGAGGCTATATTCGTGTTCCACACCATGATAAAACTGATTGGACTTATTGCCTGTCAATTATGCATTTTTTCGATGACTATTCTTTGTCTTCGAACACGTCAGAGTGACTTCAATAATTTGAAAATAATTCTTTGATACAAAAATTTCATCGAGGTGTCCACGTCCAGCAGAAAACTGAGACACAGCTGCCAAAATATCAAAGTAGTTCAATAAAGGTATATGCTATACTCGTTTGGCTCAAGCTAGATAAATGTCTCACAACTGATTTCCTAAATAAAGATTTTAAAGCTTCAACGTCAATGCAGCTTTTAAAATTTCACAAGGCGTATGGCACTGAATTTATTGGTAAAAGAAAGCTTTTTTGATAGTTGAAAACGTCTAACTATGGCTTTTACTCAGCAAAGATGTTATGATAAATTTTATAACTAGAGGGGAAGTGTTTGATATTCAGGTTTACCAGCTAGCTAAACATAAATCAACCTATATTACGGGATTAAGATATTTTCCTTGCCGTTTTCAAAAGTCATTTCAACATATGATTTGATACCCACTTTCAGTTCCTCAAGAATGGCCTCTTGAATAAGAACAAAAATTGTTTATATAAGCAATTCGTAAAGTTGTCATGTTAGATGAGATTTACAAAGAGAACCTTACCTAGATTAAATTAGTTATATTCTCTACCTTGTTTTGCAATAGTTACCATGGTTAGAGCTAAAAACAATTATCCAGGTTAACCAGATGGCTAAACTCAACAAGCAAATCTTAGTCAACCTGTGTTTGTAGCATCTAAATGTCGTCAGTAGACTTTTTATTTCGGCTGATACCTCATGCCATCATGACAAAAAGCTTGACATCTTCTTTGATTTCTGAAATTCAATAGTTGTTATTAGCTATTATCATCATAACAAAGAATGTTTAAAAAAGAAGTCATGGAAGTGACCATAGCGGTTTAAAGGCTTTGAGCCAGCTGTATAATTATCTGATGAAAGAAGTTAGATAAAAGGATATGCATCACGTCGTCCGATCAAAAAACCATCGGCGAGATGTTAATCATTGTTGCACTTTTGGTGGGCATCTTTATGCCATCCCTCTCAAAAGGTGAGGTTAAACACATCTCTTATCCATACAGCACAGCAAATAATTTGAGTTAGGTATACAAGGTTAAAACGACTTTATTCATCATTGTATATCTTCGTATGAGCAAACAATCTTCAAGTGAAGGAAGCTTTTGATATCTGTGAGGGAAAAGGAATCTTTAACAAGACTTGCGCTTTGTATATGTTGTGAAAGGCTGCTCATTCCGGCCTTACCTTGCGCACAAGGAGCCACTTGATCGATCCAAAGCCTTGCTCGTCAGCCAGAGAATTAACGCTCCTTATATGGTGCGTAGCAAGGTTGCAATGTAATGGTGCTATATCTTACTACAACAATCACCTTCGGCTGTAAAAATCAATCCTGAATCCAGGGATTTTCTTTTTTTCAGAAAATTAGCAACGAGATTTTCATTTAATTTGTTACTTTGAAAATTCTGAAAACAAGAGGCTTTTTTGTTGTAATAGAGTTGTTTAAGTACATCAAGTATGTGCGCGTGTAGTTGACGATCTTTAAAAGCATTAGCATCAAGTTTCAGTCATGTTAGAGGTTTATAAGAAGTCTGAAAACAGAACAAAGATCAAATTGGTGGGGGATGGGGGGGATTCTAACGAGCCAATGACTAGCAATTTGCAATATTCAGTGCTTGATTGTCCCAATATCAGTCAGCCTCGGAATTCAAGTTTATTTCATGTTTTCCATACTTCACTGTTTATCTCTTTCCTAAAAACTGATTGACTGCAAATTTAAAATTTTCAAATTTTGTTTATTTTCCACAACTTAAACACTGGATAAAATCAAAACCGTGGGTTTTTATTATTTTTCTAGGTTGTGCGGACAAAAATAGAAATTGCGGTTCTTGGGCATCAAAAGGTTTCTGCCAAGGGCAATATGAAGCGTATATGAAAAAAAACTGTCAGAAGAGCTGTAACCTTTGTGGTGGTGGTGGTGGCAGTGGAGGAGGAGGAGGAGGAGGAGGAGGAGGAGGAGGAGGAGGAGGAGGAGGAGGAGGAGAAGGTATTTTGAACATTCTAAAATAACTTGTTATTATAGATTAAAATTATAAAAAAAGTTATTCATCATTAATCAGTTCGATTTAATCTTCACTATATTTTCTTTTACTCTTCTCTCCCTATAGTTTATCTATTTCTCCTTCTCCTCCTTTCACTTTTGTAATCTTGCGTGAGGCGTGAGTGGCCCAGTGGTCAGAGCGCTGGACTCTGGGTCGGACGGCCCGGGTTCGAGTCCTGGATGGGGCACCACGTTGTGGCCTTAAGCAAGTCGCTTCACTCACCTTGCTTCGTCTTCTCGGATAAGGACGTAAAGCCGGAGGTCCCGTCTCCTTTTGGGGTGTTAATCTTGCACGAGATGGATGTCCTCCCCTGGGTTGGGTTGGAGTTCATATCGTTTTTTTGGCGTATGTCTAATGTAGACGTACCCAATAAAGCTGTTAAATAAATAAATAAATAAATAAATAAATAAATTGCTGTTTGCGTTGTTGGAGTTCATATCGTTTTACTTGTCTTCCTCTTGTTCCTCTTTTTGTTCTTCTTTTCATTTACTGTGCCTTCTTCCAGAATGCAAGGATAAAAACTTAAACTGTCCGCGGTGGGAAAGCAAAGGATACTGCAAAGGCAAATACGAACAGTATATGAGAGAAAACTGTAAGAAGTCCTGTAAAATTTGCGGTGGCGGAGGCAGCGGCGGCGGAGGCGGCGGTGGAGGCGGTGGAGGCGGCGGTGGTGGAGGAGGAGGAGAATCACGAAAATGTGGATTTAAACCAGGCGCACGAATTGTCGGTGGAAATGAAGCCCCAAAGGGAGCTTGGCCATGGCAAGCTCAGGTCAGGACGTCTTCTGGTTTCACCTTTTGTGGAGGAACTTTGGTTCATCCGCAGTGGGTTGTAACAGCAGCTCACTGCACCTCGAAAAAATCCGCCTCCAGCATTCGTGTAAGGTGAGGTCTCTTCCAGATTCTTCTACCCAAGAAATCAAATTTAATGCAAGGTAATTTACACCAGATACTTACTCTGAGTAAGCCTTATCCACCTAGTTATCTTGGCTAATGAATCATTGTTCCAAAGGTGTTTATGCGATAATTTTCGAAATGCAAAGCCTATTTTCTTAGAATAAAGAAAGTATTCATTGAAAGTATTCAAATGATTGGAGAGGAAATATCTGAAAAAGAGTATTCATTCACCGATTTCAAATCTGAGTTGTTTCCAATTTGCAGAGTTGGTGCTCACTATCGCAGCGGGAACACTGGAGACGAGCAGGATTTTCAAGTGGAAAGAATCATCAACCATGAAAGTTACAAACAGCCACGCGGAATGGCTCATGATATTTCTTTGTTGAAACTGCGACAACCCGCTCAACTGAACGAAAAAGTTGGACTGGCTTGCTTACCTGGGTCGAGTGGAGAAGTTTCGGAAGGCAAGACTTGTTGGGTGACAGGTGATACAATTCATTCCGCCAACTCGATTGCCTTGATAAGTAACTCTTGTTGAAGACGATCAGCTTGTTCGAGGGAGCCACTTTTCCCCATATCAAATGTATATACATTGACCAAACTTTTAAAACCTAGACATATACATTGTATATTTGTATATATACATTTTATTTTCTTTGTTCATTGTTATTTGTCATTTTTTACACAGATTCTCTTGGTTATTTTTGGTTTTCCTTTGATTCATTCTTGTAAGTTTGGATTGACTCTTCTCAGGGGTGGCTCAATGATTTGTAAGCCCTGCATAATTTTTTTCCATGTGGTTCCTTTCAGGATATGGTACACTCTCCTCGGGTGGTAGTTTGGCAAAAGTGTTAATGCAGGTAGATGTCCCGATTGTCAGTCAAAGTGGATGTAAAAGAGCTTATGGATCGTCAATCCACGACTCCATGGTCTGTGCTGGACTCGATCGTGGAGGCAAGGACTCGTGCCAAGGAGATTCCGGTGGGCCACTGGTTTGTGAAGATGGTGGAAAGTTCTACTTAGAGGGTGTGGTTTCATGGGGAAGTGGTTGCGCCTCCCCAGGGAAGTATGGTGTCTACGCCAGGGTCCGTTACTTACGGCAATGGATTGACAAGCAGATGAATACCTATTAGACAAAAGTCTTATGCACAATAAAAGGCATTCAAAACCACGAAAATGTGTGTTTTCGTCTATTTATTGAGTATACTACACTTTTTTTTTCATAATTTAGCTATTACTACAATTATAAAAATGAAAAATTATGAAAAAAATTACAGCCAAATCGAGCTAAAAAGACGACGTGCTTGGCACGGAAAACATTTTATCACCTTCTTTCAGCTTTGACCGTCTCCAAAGCAGAAAGCTATCAATCTTGCTAAAACTGACTGTATAAGGTTTGTTTTTGTTTTGCATCAGTGACAAGTTTCAATGATTAACTACCATTGCAGTTTTTTAACTGTCTTCCATCGGCCTAGACCCGTTTTCGACTGTTTTTTTTTTTGTTTTTTTTTTTTTTTTTTTTTTCGTTTTTGCTCTTTTTAACGAAAGAAAAAGAAACGAAAAGAAGGAGAAAAGAGAATCGCCAAAATGATTTTATGCTAAGAGACCTCTGCATTTGCCAATGAATTTTTTTTTTAACTTCATGCACATCTGGATATTAAGAGTGCAGCTGGAAAAACAGTATGAACAATTGACCCATAAAACAAAATCAAAAACAAGAACAACAAAAAGATGATTACTTCTCGTCTGAAATTCAAAATTCCCGTTCTTTAGTGACATATTTCACAATTTGTTTCAGATTTAAGCAAACAGACAACTTTTTTAGTTGTTAAAGGATAATACACGTGCAAAAAAAAATGAAATTTTCAGGTAAACCTAGCTCAAAAGGTGTGGCACATAATTTTCATGGTTATATAATTAGAAAGAGCTTTGGACGAAAGAAAGAGGGGTTTCGACTTAGGTTGGCAATATTGCAGTTCTCACACTATAAGCGTTAAACTCCTTTAAAATTCGAAATAAATATTACAGTAAGACAGTCTTTGTTTTGGATTTGGTGCCAAAGGTAAATTTTCACACAGGTGGACTCTAACTTCTTCTCACATTTATTGTTGTCAATATTAACATGAACATCAACAATTTATGTTCAAAGAAACGTCCATGTGAATAAATGTTGATTTTGTGCTAAACATTTTTCTTAAGGAAGGTGTGTGCAGTTCTAACAGTTCTCAATCTATCACTTCGAGTGTTAATACTCCTGAAAAAAGAGGGATGAATATTACAGTGATATAGTTTTTGTCTTGGATTTGGTGCCAAAGGTTAATTTGACAGGTGGACTTATGTTGGATTTTGTGCCATGCATTTTTTTTAGGCAGGCGCGTGCGGTCCCCTCTTATCTCGAGCTATCATTGTAGATGTAAATACTCCTGAAAAAAGAGGGAATAAATATTACAATGAAACAATTTTTGTCTTGGATTGGACTCCAAGTTCTTCTCAAATTTTTTCGGTCGTCAATATTTAGATTGGCATCAACAATTTATTCTCGAAGAAATATCCTTGTCAATTAATATTGCTTGTGCCAAGCATTTTTTCGACGCAGATGTGCACAATTCTCACACTTCTCGAGCTATCACTTTGAATATTAATTGTCCTATATGAAGAGGGAATGAATATTTAAGCGAATAGTTTTTTCTTGAATTGGACTTAGTGCCAATGTTTAATTTCCACACAGGTGGAGTTCAAGTTTATCTCTAATTTTTTCGGTCGTCAATATTAAGATGAACATCAGCAATTTATGTTCAAAGGAATATCCATGTGAATAATATTGGACTTTTTGTCAAGCAATTTTTTAAACACGCGTGTGTCAACTTTTTTTCATAATTACTACTGAAGATTTTTATAAAGCCATTTACGATAGTCGTTCACATACAGTAATAACCCGCGTATAAGAACCTGGGTTTTAAGAACCTATCCATGTGAATAATATTGGACTTTTTGTCAAGCAATTTTTTAGACACGCGTGTGTCAACTTTTTTTCATAATTACTACTGAAGATTTTTATTAAACCATTTACGATAGTCTTTCACATAAGCGAAGATTTTTTTGTTTAATAAATAGATTGCTGACAAATTTCATCTTTATACAGGTGTAGAACCATTTACAATAGTCTTTTAAAATGAGGACAGAAGTCTTGCAGTGAGAATGTTTTCAAGTTTGAATTGATTGCCAATGTTTGGTTTTCACACAGATGTATGCCGTTAAATTCTTTTCACAATTACTGCGGTAAATACTAGTATAAAAAGATATTCGGAGACTAGGTTTCATTGTACTATTGATTCTTGCAAAATGAAGCTTTCAATTCTAATAAAAGCTCTTCTTATCGCCGGGGTGGTTCTGACAGCGTTTCAGCGAGACACAGAAGGTTAGTCAGTAAGTTACTAAAGTCAGGCACGTTTAATGTTGTCATATTCCTTGGAAACTTCGCTGCTGGTTGATACAAAGAATCCAAAAAAAATCATCGCTTAGGTAGCAATATGAATTTTGGCGCCATGCAAGAAGAAATAATTCGTTGACTGCGAATAAAGTTGTTTGTCAATGGATCCAGTTAATCTTCCAAACTATCAGGCGTCATTTTAAGCTTGTTATTCGGAAGATTAAACATGGAAACGGTCTAGGTTAGTCTTTTTCTTAGGCGACATACAATAAGTATGGCATAAGTATGTGAGACCCACGCGAGTTTTTCGTTAGGTCAAGAGGAAAAACAGTACTGACCACTTGAAATTTCCTGAAAAGTAAGAATATAACATTTTGCTTCCCAAACTCTTATCTTATCAGTCAGAGTCAAAATATTAGCCAGAGATTGAGACAAAGTGGGATTCTTACCAGACAATCCAAAACGAAATATTTTAAAATCTTCTGGGCCCCTGAAAAAATGCTGCTTCTGATGAAACGGACGAAGGAACTGCAGCACGGTGCATGCACCATGTGTTTGCAATCGGTAGTAAGGTCTTGACTGATTTACATAAAAAGAGTGGGATATGATTGCCCCTTTTTACTCTGCGCTCTTTTCACTTTGTCTCGTGAACTTTCTTGCCTCAGCGAATCAGTGGTTTCACTTTTTTTTTCTGTTTTGGGACGAATCGACCACTTAAACCCTAGGATTCACAATTCTTCTCTCATCCTAATCCTCATCGTTGTTATCATAATTATTGTGATATCATGATACATTCTTAATTACTGGCAGGGTGGGCCTAAAAGTTGACAATTTACGTAATGTAATTAACCAAGCCAAGGGTTTCTGCGACACCGTTTACGAAGAGGATTCATGGTGATATAATGAAAGTCTAGAGTGCACTCTGTATAAATCCGTCTAATTTCCCTACACCACAGGTAGTAACGGAGGCGGCGGCGGAGAAAGAGGGGGAGGAAGCGGTGGAGGTAAGCTTCGAAAGCTTTGTGAAGTATGGAGCAGTGCAGCAATTTTACTTTTCCACGTTCAGTTCTTAGAATAGTCAAGCTATCCTGTTTACTAATAAGAAGCTGAACTTAGACCGATCGCGACTTAAACACATTTTCCTGCGCTCCAGGCAATCTGCTTAGTTTAACTTCGGCTACCTACTGTCCCGTTTTGGTTTAGTCATCTTTGCGCGAATTAGACGTCAAACAAAAGCGTTCTTTCTTTAGTTATGGACGTATGCGTTGAGTGCGTCGAAGGATTGCTCAGCCGAAACTACCGGCTGCATATCTTTTCGTTTTATCTCCTTCACGCGTCTTTTCAGTCTTTTGGACGCAGTAAATTCTTTCATTCCAAACATCTTTACTTAATTAACCAGGGATTAGTTATTTATTTGTGTTACCATTCCAGAATCCCGTCACACAGAGAAACTGTCCCAATTAAGAAAAAAAAATCTGCAAAACATTGAGTCGGTGGTATCGAAAGTAAAGCTTGCCATTAAAGCCAAGGCACAATATATTTCAGTTCTTACTTGTGTTCATCGCACAAACTTTCTGTAAAGGCTTTAGCTAGGAGCTTCGATTATTTATTTAATCTCACCTCAGGTTTTTAACTGCAGTTTTACCATGGAAGGCGTTCTGTATCCAGCCTGCAGAAAGCTGATAAAGCCAACAATCTCCTTCACAAACGTTTAGAAATCGTAGCTACTTTTCAAACAAGCTGTCATTTTGCTCTCCATAACAATCTGACAACGATTTTTCTTTAAATGCAGCAGTAATGACGATGATGATTTGATTACAACAAAAAACTCGACCCGACTGAAAAGTGCTAATTCTGTTTTCACATGTTATCAGCAGAATTGGCTGACCCCAAACATTTCCTTATGATGTCTTTTTTTTTTCGTGTAATTATTAATGGTTCATGGGCACATGGTTGATCAGTAGTTTGGAACGCTTTCTATATTTCATGAAACGTGCTCATTTAACAAGATACGCGTCTGCACAAATATAATTGTAGCAAAACGGTCAGAAGACGAGTTACATGATTGGTTAATAGGAGGTCGGGGAAAATCAGGGTCCGTTATTTATGGCAATGGATTGACGAACAGATGAAAACCTTTTAGACAAAGTTCTCCAAAGCAGAAAGCTGTCAATCCTTTGTTTTTGTTTTACATAAGTGACTAGTTTCAAGGATTAACTACGACTGCAATTCCGAGACCCGTTTTCGGTTGTTTTTTGTTTCTGTTTTTGCTTTTTTATGATAGGAAAAGAAACGAATAAAAGGACAAAAGAGAATTGTCGGAATGATTTTATGCTAAGGGACCTCTGCATTTGCTGATGAGTTTTTTATTTCAACTAAATGCACACCTGGATATTAAGAGTGCAGCTGGAAAACAGTGTGAACAATTGACCCATAAAACAAAATCAAAGACAATAAGAACAAAAAGATGATCACTTCTCATCTTAAACTTAAAAGTCCCCACATGTCTTTTAAAGTGCATGATCGTAACAAATTAGCAACGAGATTTCCACTTGATTTTTGTCTGTGTACAGTTAATACTCTGTAAAGGTACGGGCACCAAGCCTCAATCATTTTAGAGGCTAATCTCTGAAATCGGTAGAATGATTTCTTTATTGATTTCTTTGTTTGGGATTGTAACGAGCCAACAATTAGCAACTTCAATTAGCAAATTCTAGTTGATTACATTTTCTTCAGACTTCTCTCTTTATCTTCTTTATCCTGCTTGATTTAAAATTCTTTAGTTTATGTATTTCTATAACTTCAAAACTTTTGTTTAATTTAGCAGCCGTGGGTTTTAATATTCTTGTATTCCAGATTGTGTGGACACAAGGAGAAAATGCCCTATCTGGGCAGATAAAGGTTTCTGCAAAAATAAAGTTAAGAAAATGAAAAAATTCTGTAAGAAGAGCTGTAACTTTTGCGATGGAGAAGAAGGAGGAGGCGGCGGTGGTGGTGGAGGAGGAGAATCACGAAAATGTGGATTTAAACCAGGCGTACGAATTGTCGGTGGAAATGAAGCCCCAAAGGGAGCTTGGCCATGGCAAGCTCAGGTCAGGACCCCTTCTGGTTTCACCTTTTGTGGAGGAACTTTGGTTCATCCGCAGTGGGTTGTAACAGCAGCTCACTGTACCTGGAAAAAATCCGCCTCCAGCATTCGTGTAAGGTGAGGTCTCTTCCAGATTCTTCTACCCAAGAAATCAAATTTAATGCAAGGTAATTTACACCAGATTCTTACTCAGAGTAAGCCTTATCCAGCTAGTTATCTTGGCTAATGAATCATTGTTCCAAAGGTGTTTATGCGATAATTTTCGAAATGCAAAGCCTATTTTCTTAGAATAAAGAAAGTATTCATTGAAAGTATTCAAATGGTTGGAGAGGAGATATCTGAAAGAGTATTCATTCACCGATTTCAAATCTGAGTTGTTTCTAATTTGCAGAGTTGGTGCTCACTATCGCAGCGGGAACACTGGAGACGAACAGGATTTTCAAGTGGAAAGAATCATCAACCATGAAAGTTACAAACAGCCACGCGGAATGGCTCATGATATTTCTTTGTTGAAACTGCGACAACCCGCTCAACTGAACGGAAAAGTTGGACTGGCTTGCTTACCTGGGTCGAGTGAACAAGTTTCGGAAGGCAAGACTTGTTGGGTGACAGGTGATACAATTCATTCCGCCAACTCGATTGCCTTGATAAGTAACTCTTGTTGAAGACGATCAGCTTGTTCGAGGGAGCCAGTTTTCCTCATATCAAATGTATATACATTGACCAAACTTTTAAAACCTAGACATATACATTGTATATTTGTATCTATATACATTTTATTTTCTTTGTTCTTTGTTATTTCTCATTTTTTACAAAGATTCTCTTAGTTATTTTTGGTTTTCCTTTGATTCATTCTTGTAAGTTTGGATTGACTCTTCTCAGGGGTGGCTCAATGATATGTAAGCCCTGCATAATTTTTTTCCATGTGGTTCCTATCAGGATATGGTACACTCTCCTCGGGTGGTAGTTTGGCCAAAGTGTTAATGCAGGTAGATGTCCCGATTGTCAGTCAAAGTGGATGTAAAAGAGCTTATGGATCGTCAATCCACGACTCCATGGTCTGTGCTGGACTCGATCGTGGAGGCAAGGACTCGTGCCAAGGAGATTCCGGTGGGCCACTGGTTTGTGAAGATGGTGGAAAGTTCTACTTACAGGGTGTGGTTTCGTGGGGAAGTGGTTGCGCCTCCCCAGGGAAGTATGGTGTCTACGCCAGGGTCCGTTACTTACGGCAATGGATTGACAAGCAGATGAATAACTATTAGACAAAAGTCTTATGCACAATAAAAGGCATTCAAAACCACGAAAATGCGTGTTTTCGTCTATTTATTGAGTATACTACACTTTATTTTCATAATTTGGCAATTGATGAAAAGTTAAAAATCAAGAATTATGATGCTAAAACTTTGCTGATAATTGATTCGTTCTCATTTCTCGTTTGAAAATCGATGATCAGGAATCGAGAAATCATTTCCTTTACGTACTATAATCGAGAAAAATTAAGAAATAGAAATTGAAAATGTCCATCAGACAAATTGCAAATAGAATAGAGGAAAGTTCTCAAGACCAAGGCCTTCCTTACCTTTGCTGGTCCGTACCAGCAGCTAATGTACCACCTATTTTTTGTGGATTTTAAAAAATTAACAATCATCCTTTTAAATTTTAAGCTTAGTCATCGGTGCAAGTGCCGTTTCTCTATAAGTTGTTGAAACATAGGTTTAAAACTGTTGTGGTATTGCTTTGAACCTCGAATCCTCGACAACCGGAAAGTCAACAACTTTTCCGAGAATTGTAAAATGCTACTAGATGATTTCATATTTTATAGTCTGAAACGAAAAGCAATGGTTAAACTCTGTGTCGCATACGCAATGATGTCTCATGCAACTGTGGAAAATTACGCTTTAAGGACCTATGAGCTACGTCACGAGCTTTAACTACGAACAGTCAAATTTACTTTCAATATTTTTCTTAGTTTTATTTGAGCCCACTCGCGAATTTAACAGCGCTAGGTAACCTGGCAAACGTCAGAGGTGACGTGTATTATAAATTGATTTAGAGAGGGTACTTTTGGATACCTTTGTAACTCAGAGCGCCTCTTAAGAACATTGATATTAATCAATTTGTGGCATTTATTAACCACCAATACTCAAGACCCAAAGAGTTCCCTAAATTATTTTACAGATGGGGTAAATTCATCTTTATTGCGCCAAACTTTTCGTTTGAATATGAAAGCGATCTTCTGCAGTTCTCTTATATTCACAGTCGTTTAGTATTTTCGTTTGAAAGGAGGAAAATCACAGATCAATACTCTGATTATTATAAGAAGTTCCGTATAATATGCCAAATCTACAAAAGACAGATTTTAATATTATCTTAATATTAAAATAAGTTAATATTAACTTAAATTCTCGCCTTCTTGTCATTCGCACAATGTGATTTTCTTTCCTCAGGGACAAATTATTTCAGGCCAAGGCGACCTTCTGAGAACAAAACAAAAGAGGTCGGTTTCTATTGAGTTACTCATTAACATAATGTAGTCACAAGACTATAACAGCCAAACTTGTTTAATAAATAATTTGTGCCCAACGTAAATAGAAAAAAACCTGAAAAAAGCAGAATCAAACAACAATGCCTTATTAGGTTATTTCGAATTGCCGTGATTCCCACTAGAGTAACCTTTCACAGTGAAAGATTAGGCAAACAGGATATAGTTTTGACCTAAAGGTTTAAAAAATTTGCATCTCTTCCGAAGCGAGACTAACACTCATCAGATGACTTGGGTATTAAGTTACACTTGGGTAGGATCATGGCACTTTCTTTACAACGGGCTTTTTATTTAAGTGTAATTTCCGTGGCTTGTTACCAGCGTGTACAAGCGTGTCTGGACGACAAAAGCTGCCCAGGATCCAAGACTTGTTGCAAAGGAGTCTGTAGATATAGCTGCACCTGCGAGGGTTCTAGCGATTGTGACTGGGATGAAAAGTGTTGCTCGAACGGACTTTGTAAGGACAGCTTCGAGCTGTGTCCCAATCCTTCATCTGCGCTTTTAATCATCTTGGCTGTGTGCTCCGGTGCCCTATTAGCACTTCTCTGCTTTTTTCTTACGTGCTATTTGATGGATCGCTGTCCGTGGTACAAACGGCGTATCGCACGGAGAAGAAGACTTCAAAGCGCCACGGTTCACCGATCACATCTACCGACATTATCATCAACAAATATGACACAAGAACTTCGCTTTCCCGAAGCGCCTCAGCCGTGTAAAATACCATCAACATCTTATTTACCACCTTTCACAGGAAATCCAACTAAATATTCAAGTTATACTGTGCCTCGAGCGAGTACGTCGATGTCTCAATCTCCGCCATTTATGCCGATCAAATGACAGTACACGAAAACGATAATATTCAGGTGACTTTTACGTATAAATAAACTTTGGCGAACACCGCCTACTTCTGTACAGAAAGCAAGTGTTAAACAACTCTGCTTACGTTTTCTTTAAAGGAGAAAGAGAAAACCGAAAAAAGACGAATTTTGTTGTCAAAAAATAGGATATTTTTATAAATGTGGAGTAAATTTACAGCCATCAGCGCAACAAGTTCCTGTGCGTTTATGTAAATATTATTCTTCGCTTTTGGAATATTCAAGATCGACTGTTACTGCGAACTGTACTTCGCAGAAAGCTTAACGTACAGTTGCACTTGTACAATCGTAATTAATACAGATGGTCTGGCTTGATTCGAAATTTGTGTGATAATTCTCTCTCTCGATAATTTAAAATGTGAGAAATCGATGTGAAAGAATGGGCAGTCAATGGCGCAGTGCCATGATTGTAACTTTGTACGGAATATAAGTAAAGTTTCAGCTGGGTTGATCAACACTTGAACAAGTCTAAATTTAAAAGAGGTGTTTGCTTTGATGCTAAAGAGGTATATCGGATCAACTGGAAAGGACTTCTAAAAACGACCCCACAAGTGCGAAAGTAAAGTTCTGTTGTTTACTGGAGAAGGTGCTTCTTTGTCTTGAACAGCGGGAAAGCGACCTAGGACTAAATTGACGTAAAATCATGTCTTCCATTGGTGAGTAGTTCGATTATTGAAGGGAAAGGAAAAAATTATTGACCATATGCAACAAATTGGAATGAGGTTTTCAACGTAGGAATTGATAAGATTTGTTTTATTTGCAACTTGATGCGTAATCGACATGAAACTGACTAGACAAAGGTTATTAATCATGAACCACTATTTCCGGGACATTGACAGTTGCATGAACAATAGTATTCTGTCACATCTGCAAAATTTGCATAATTCCAAAAACAAAATCTCTTTGGCTAATATTATATAAAACTGTCACTGATCATCAATGAAACCATTTTTTAAAAAAAATACGTTTCAGAATAGGAAAAAATTCCATCATGACGGTCATTTTCCCTGATTGTTTGATATATTATTACGATACACTCTTTATTATTTGCTATGGTTCCCAAGTCACTGGCTGGGGACCGGAAAACGTAAGATCAATGCCACATCCAACGTTGTATTTTCCAATAAACAAAGCCGGCCGCAAACAAATAGGGTTAAAATAATGAAACCACACGCCAATATTTTCCAACGTTTGTACATCAAGTTTCGCTGTTTTTACGATGTTTTCTTCTCGCAGGTGTTTCCCTGTTCATCAGCGATACACACTTTATTCCAATGAGTCTTCTTTCAAGTCCAAATCATGTTTGGATTAAAAACAAAACAAGACAGAAAAGACAAAAACAAAACACTTGAGAGCAAAAGAAAAATTTGCATTTTTGGATTTAAAGAAATATTAATTTTGGCTTGTCCTTTAGCTCCATTTCGCTTCGCATCAGAAATGGCTCTCTTTGGTAATTGTCAACTTTCCTCGAAAAATGTCCTTGAAAAACGACAGCCGTTCTCGTAACTCCTGAAAGAGAGTTTGAACACGAAAGGTGGCATTCAGTCCCTGAGTTAAGTTTAACAATTCCGCATTTGAGGTCACCCGCTTAATATCAGTAAGTCATGCTATAACTTAAAGCTTCGACATAAAACAATTTCCGTGAAATTGATTTTGTGAAAGCAATGTGGACCATATATATTATGACCTTGCTTTATTCATTGTTTTTTTCGGTCAAGATCGTCCAATTTCTTTTCCATTCTCGGCCATCCTCGGAGAAAAAACATTCATCACAAATCTTCCTTCTCTCTTTTGGTGCATGTCCCCTCAAAAGTCTCGGAGTTTCTTCGTTTGCTACTGCTGTTGTCTGTCAGACGAACCTGGGTACTTCGATTCATTCCATGACGCCAATATAAATTCCTCTTTGTCTGTGATATTCGGCGGGATTTGCGACTTCAATAAACATGTCGTAATATCGTCATCAAAGTGAAGAAGGAGAAGAACTGTAAAAGAGACGATCAAAACAATGTTTATCTTAATAGAACCTCTAAAAAAATCCTGGGGATAGATTAACTCCCAAGGCTTCCAAACAAAAAGCCTATCAAATACAAGAAGGGGGGTTGGGGAGGGGGGGGGGGGTAGGGGAGGTTTTATTGAGAATATTGAGACTTTACGGAGAGCCAAAATCCGAGTATAATTTGGTTGAACACCTTCGATTTTTTCAACGAAAGCTTGTACAGCCTCTCAAACACAAATACATTTAACAGCAACGCAAGCAAACTCCAGCAAATAAGACCAATAACACAAATTTTGCACGCCAACGCTGGCGGATTGTCAGATTTTCAAAATACGCCAAGGCTGTTTATCTACTTTGAGCTTCCGCTTAGCTTTACTAGATATTCAACGAAGTATTTCACTTTCAAGCCCGACGCAAGCATGCCGTCATTATTGGACGATCAGCCCCATATCTTGTCGTACAGAGAATGTCATCCCAACTCAGCATGAATATCTAACTAATGGTCTTCTCTGTGCGGTTGGATTCTTCGACAACGAATCACAACACGATTTGAAATTGTCTGATCGAGCGACGCAGCAAGCGACAGACTTTTTAGAGAACAAAAGTACAGGCATATTGCTAAATAACTGAGATTTGTAGCACATGCTGTCTTGTCAAAACCATATCGATTATTACACCAGCGGAAAAACTATCGAGGCAAAAGACCATATTTTCTATCGGTTTACTGGCTTATTAATCCACTTGGAAATAAAGTTGGTCTAACGATAAAAAAGTTCGAGTACAACCCGTCTTGGACAGTAAACAAACTTGATATTGTTTTTCTCGTGCTTTCATAACATCTCGCGCAGGTGATTTCTCAGTAAACCGACA